TTCCCCTCAAATGAAGCCTTAAGTGGAAGCTAATCAGATAAAGGCAGAGATGTTCTGGTTGAAGGAGGAATACTTTCCACCCTATGACTCACACCCACTCCGAGGATCCAGAAGCACCCAGGAGAAGCCCCGAGGGACCTAGAGGAGGTCAGAATGTAACCGCTAGCTGGGTGGCCATGGGCTAAGCAAAGACTATTATAGCTTAGAAGTTTCATTTTAATTGGATTTGTTAAGTTTGAGATGCTTAGACAGTTGGATAAATATTAGGACTCGGTGGAGAGGTAGGACATGGGGGTATGAATTGGGGTGTCAGTGCACACAAATGGTATTTTCCTCTCTAAGGATCACTGAGGTCATCTGGGAGAAAGTGCAAATCAATGGTAATAGAGGATCCAGGACTGAACCCCACAGCGCTCCGATTTTAGAGGCTGAGAAAAAGAAGAAACTCCAGCGAAGAAGAACCAAAGGAGAGTATGCTCAGGCAAACCAAGTTTAGAGACTGTTTCAGAAAGGAGGAAGTGACCAACCCTGCGGTATCTGCTGAGAGGCCAGTAGATGAGGACATAACAGTGACTACTGGATTTGGCCGGTGTTCGTTGGTGACTTGGATGAGAGTGGTCTAACGAAGTGGTAGGGATAGGAGACTGAGCAGGTCGATTTGGAGAGTGTATAGTTAAGAGTATTATTAGATTAGGCAGGGATAACAGAGCACCCTTGAAGTCTCAGGGGCTTAACACAAATGTTCATATGTTGCTTAAATTAGGCCTCCTGTGCATCCGGTATCTTGTAACTATACCTTGTGGTATCTACACCCTCCATCTTGTAGCTATGCCATCTAGCAGACTTCAAAGGTCGCTCTTCAGGAAAAGAGCTGGTGGGGGGGACCTCTTACTTACTCTTAAATCCCCTGGACCACAGCCGTCTGGCCAGAACAAGGAGCATGGCCCCTCTTAACTGCTAAGGGCTGTAAGTCTTCCTGCTTGCCCAGGAATGAGAGGAGAGCCAGCCTGGAGACCTCATGTAACTTTTACTGCAGGGAGTAATGGATGTAAGGGATGGAGACAGTGACCATGGAGACCTCTTCCAAGATTTTCCAAGAGAACAGTGGCTGGAAGGGGACAAAGGGTCAAGGAAGGGTATTTGTAAGTTAAAAAAATAAAATTTATACACTTTTAAAGGTTATTCTTCATTTACAGTTATTACAAAATATTGGCTCTAATACCCATGTTGTACAATTCATCCTTGAACCTATCTTATTACACCCAGTAGTTTGTACCTCCCACTCCCCCACCCCTATATTGCCCCTCCCGCCCCCCACTGGTTACCACTAGTTTGTTCTCTATATCTGTGAGTCTGCTTCTTTTTGGTTATATTCACTAGTTTGCTGTATTTTTTAGATTCCATGTATAAGTGATTTCATATAGTGTTTGTCTTTCCCCGTATGACTTGTTTCACTTAGCGTAATGCCCTCCAAGTCCATCCATGTTGCTACAAATGGCAATATTGCATTCTTTTTTATGGCTGAGTAGTATTCCAGTGTGTGTGTGTGTGTGTGTGTGTGTGTGTGTGTGTGTGTGTACACACACCCATATACCACATCTTCTTTATCCGTTCATCTGTCAATGGACACTTAGGTTGCTTCCATGTCTTGGCAGTTGTAAATGATGCTGCCGTGAACATTGGAGTGCATGTGTCTTTTTGCATTTCCCACCAACAGCACATAAAGGTCCCCTTTTCTCCACATCCTCGCCAACATTTGTTATTTGTGTTCTTTTTGGTGACAGTCTAAAAGATTCAGTGGAGAGGGAGAAACTGGTGATGCAGGAAGATGAGACAAATGTAAGTCTGAGGTCAGCCCTTGAGAATGCAAGAGGATGGGATTCTGAGCATAACAGTGGGTTTGCCTCCAGGGAGAGCAGGGACATTTTTCCTTTTCTAACAGAGAAAAGGCAGAGAGTATATATACAAATATTGGTGGTTGGTGGAATAGGTGGTAGGGAAAGAAAATGAGGTGTTGAGTTAGCCAAAAAATTCTTTTGGTTTTTCTGTAACATCTTACGGAAAAACCATGAACTTTTTGGCCAACCCAACAGTTCTCATCTGAGTGCTTCTCTGTTCTCTGCCATCACCAGCTGAGAGTGAGGGTAGGATGGAGGGGAGGCTGGAGGTTTGAGAAGAAAAGTGAAGGTTGGCTTGCTCATTTCTGCCTACTCCTGGTTTATGTGACACAATTCCTAACAGCGCCTGTATGGGGCGCCTCTTCTGCCTCATTCCTTATACTCTTGCCCTCACCACTGTGGAGGTGACTGGTTCTGTGATGATGCCCGACTGATTCATGCTGGTGCACGTGGAAGAGCTCATTTTTGGTCCCTTTTGTCCCCCTTGTCCCCTTAGTGCTGTGAATACCCAACTCAGAATCATGGCGGAGCGAACAAACCTTCACCCACTAGAAACAGGAGGTGGTGGAGAAATACGTCCCCTTTTTCTACTCCTATGGACAATCCTGATGTATGGTTTATAGGTGTTTATTTAATATTTTCTCTCATTCTGTGGGTTGCATTTTCACTCTTAATTGTGTCCTTTGGTACATAAGTTTTTAATTTTGAGGTAGTTCGATTTATCTTTCTTTCATTGCCTGTACTTTGGTGTCATATCCAAGAAATTATCACCAAATCCAATGTCATGAAGCTTTTACCCTGTTCTAAGAGTTTCTATAGTTTTATCTCTCTCTCTCTTTTTTTTTTTTTTTTTTTGGCCATACCATGTGCCATGTGGGATCTTAGTTCCCCGACAGGGATCGAACCCGTGGCCCCCTGCAGTGGAAGCGCGACATCTTAACCACTGGACCGCCAGGGAAGTCCCATAGTTTTATCTCTTAACACTTAGGTCTTTGATCCATTCTGAGTGGAAACAACCCAGATGTTTATCAACTGATGAGTGGATAAACAAAATGTGGTATTTTCATACAATGGATTATTATTTGAGCATAAAAAGGAATGAAGTACTGACATGTGCTGCAGTGTGGGCGAACCTTGAAAATATGATGCTCAGTGAAAGAAGCCAGACGCGAGAACCACGTGTTGTGTGATTCTATTTATATGAAAGGTCCAGGATAAGTAAATTCTCAGAGACAGAAAGTAGATAGGTGGTTGATGGAGGATGGAGAGAAGGGGAAATGGGCGTGACTGCTAGGTGTTATGGGGTTTCTTTGAGCTGAGGAAAATGTTCTGAAATTAAATAGTGGTGATGGTCCCACAACTTTGTGAACATACTAAAAAACCTCTGAACTGTTCTATTTTAAAAGGGTGAATTCTGTGTTATGTGAATTATATCTTAATAAAAAATAAAAATAAAATAAAATTCTAACTATTGTATGTGCACCTTCCTCAGAAGGAAAGATTTGACTTTATTACAACAAACCAACCATGCAATGCTTGCAAAACTCCTGTGATAAATTTGTCCAAAACTGGGGCCAACTCACTTTTTTTTCCTTCAGGCTGTGAGGCTATAACATGCACACAGTGGAGTGCACAATTTTCAGTGAACAGCCCAGTGACTGCATATGTAGGCTCTGTGAGGCTTTCACTCAGATCAAGAAGATACGGCGTGTCCGGCCCTATAAAAGGCTCACCCTGGGCCTCTCTCAGAAGCAAGCATTCCCACCCCCTCCCAGAGGTAATCACCACTCTGACCACCATCACTCTGGATTAGTTTCGCCTCTTCTAGAGCTTCATAGAATTAGGATTATAGGCTGTGCCTGGCTTCTATCAGTGTCACGTCTGGGCATTCATCCTGTCGTGTGGCTCTGTGGCTCAGTCATTTCAGTGCTGCTTTGCGTTCTGTCACATGTAGTAGCACAATTTATCCATTCTCCTGTTGATGGCATTAGGGTTGTTTCCAGTTGGGGGCTACTATGAATAAAAGCTTACCTTTTAATATTATTATAAAAGTACAAAAAAGCACCTTCCCTTGGAGCCTGTCTGAAGGAGATTGGAAGTCATGCTTGGAGGTTTATAACTGGCTGTCGTATCTGCCCCAGGAGAGGTGTCAAAACCGCAGCCCACCCCCTTCCTCTCACATACCAGCAGATGGCTGGTCCCAGGCAAAACACTGAGTCAGCCTCCTTCATGGGGGGAGGGTCGGATCTGCTCAGACACGTTAAGAAAGAAGAAATTTTGCAAGCCTTTGGCTGAATTCAGGTACTAATATCTAAGGCTGAGTAATACAGAGTAAGAAATAAAAAGGCAGCCAGTAACTCTTTGGCTTATCTTTGTCTCTTGAGGTATTCTGAAAACTTCTTTGTTTTCTTCAGTTTATTTCAGAAGAGGCAAAAACAAGGCTTGCCCTAGAGAAGGCTAGGATTTTGACTTGCCCAATGCTAGGTTTTTCCTATTTCCTCAGCTGAGGAGAGAGAATTCTAAGACTTTCTGAAAAGACCCTTTGAACTTTGGAATTCCTGGATCCTGCCCGCTGATTGGAGCTCCCGGGCAGGGGCCTCTGGGTCTGGTGAGGAGCTGTGTGATGTCACAGGGCTTTGTGAGTTAGCCTGGGGCCGCCTGTGTTTTGAGCCCTGCCATGCGGGGCAGGGTACCCAGCACAGTCAAGTTATTTGCTCAGAACGCATTCAGGAAGAAATTCCATCTTCCAGATCATTCAGTGTAGACTCCTGCCTAATTCCGCCTATGACTCAGCTTGGAGAATACAACTAGAGAGCAGCCAGTGGTTTTCTCAGTGGTACGTGGCTGGACTCAGTCTGCTGAAAAGTGGGAACAAAGATGGGGGTGCTGTCCTCCCACCTAGAATCAGTGGGAGCAGCGCATCAAATCACGGAATCTTGAATGGGATGCTGGCTCTGGGGATTAGGATTAAGAAGATCAGATTTTTCGGGCTGGGTTATGCCACCTTAGAGGCTTACTGGGCATCGTAATAACTTTAGTTCTTGAAAATCAGGGCCGATTCTCACTGTATACCACAAAGGTACACCCTTTGTGCTTCTTAGGATTTATACAAAGACAATGTATTACTTATTCAAAAAGCGAAATAGAAAAAAAAACTCTTGGTAGTATCAGAAAGTCAGAGATCTTGTATGGAGATCGGTATTAAGATTGTTCTTGGAAAACAAGGGATTACAAATACTGATTATTTGCAGAAAAATTAGTTCTGACATTATCTAAAGCATGGTCATGTTTTCCTGGCTCTAAAAACGAACATTTTAAAACTCAGTGACTGTAAATCCAGATTTATTTTAGGGCTTTGGTTTCTCGCCGTGTGCGTGTGCGTGTGCACATGTGTTAGTGACTACTGGCAGCGTTCTTTTTTGCTTTACTGGATTCTTTTCATTAACTCTCAGGTTTTGTTTTGTTTTTTTGAATGCATTTAAAATTTTGTTTGCTATACATACAAATCATCACTGAAATATTTTTTACAACTTAATTCTGTATTTTTCTAGCATATGAGTTTTAGTGAAGGAAATAATTGAACATGGTTTCCTTCTGAGAATACAGAGTCGAAGAGCCAGTCACAGAGCTGCGGGATCTATCTCTGGGTAGGAGAAGTTTTCTGCGTTTTGTGGGAGTGTGGGGAGGGTGTTGGGGGCGGGAGGGGGAGAGATGAGGTGCATATTCCAGAGAGCTAATGGGAGCTCTGCTTTAAGAAAATGCAAAATAAGACCACTGATATTAGTAAAATAAGAAATTTGGGGGGAGGGATATTTTTATAAGTGTTCATATCTAAAGAAAATTTTCCCCCAATTTTCTTTTTTTTTAATTTGTAAGAAAATTTTTATTTTATAATGGAGTAGAGTTGATTTACGGTGTTGTAGTAGTTTCAGGTGTGCAGCAAAGTGATTCAGTTAGCATGTATCTATTCTTTCCCAAATTTTCTTAGTATGGTAGAATCTTTCTAGAGTATGGATTTATTTTATTTTTCAGTAATAATTCTATCATATGAATTCATGTGTATGTTTTGTATATTAAACTTGGAGGCCTCCCCTCACCTATTTTCTTCTTTCACTAGTTTCTAATTGCTTTTGGGTTTTGGAGAAAATCAAAACAGATGTCTCTCAAAATTTAGACACTAATAGGAAGATGTGGTGGTAATATAAGTTAAAACAGCTTCATTCTCTTTTCAGTTCTTTGACTCCATCCATTTCCCCTAGTTAGAACTTATCTTCTTCTCTTACACATTCGATACATTTTCTTTGCATAATTAAATATTTCGTTTTTAGAGTGTTATTCATTCAGTCAATGAGCCTTTATTGTGCAACCAGGATCTTTGTCAGGACGTTAGATCCTGTGTCCTAGGGGAATGCTCCCATACTGATAAACTCTCCCGAATCCAGCTTTATGTCCCCTCCCTTTACCGAGCATCCTCAGGACTCAGCCCAGGCACAGGCCCCTGACTCCAGTGGGTGGTGATGCCTGGGCCCTGCAGTTCTGGGGGAACAGAGGGGGCCTCACACATTCCCGGCCAAGCTATGTTATGACTTTGTCCTCGTTACTGACCTGGTGGACAGGAGCGGACTTGAGAGGTGACCCTGAGGGAGGGCAGGCGTTGCCTTTTGAAACGGAGGCCGCTGTGTTATTTTCAAGGAGAGGAGGAGAGCTAGCCTTTCGTGGAGAGGAGGGGCCGTTGCTGTGGGTCCAGAGTGTCCGGTGGGTCTGGGGTTTCCGGCGTGTCTCCACCCATACACTCCCATCCCGAGGCTCGGTCTCCCTCCTTTCCTGGGTTGACACTAGCCGAGGTGAGAGTCAACCTTCCCTTCCCTGCAGCTCAGCTGCCCTCATCAAGCCCTGCTTTCCTGCCCTTTGGTTGTAGGGATGAGTCTTTTTATACCCTGCTAAGGAGGCCCTCGGACTCAGATATTTTGCCTTAAACTGGGGACGAATAACCCTCAGCTTCCCATTACTTTTCTCAGTTGCGTGCACAGCCTCACCTACAACCATCCTGATTCCGTGGTACTTGTGGTGACCACTCCCTGCCCTCATCTCTCAAATGTGCCAACCAGAACACTCCTTTCCACCGGGATTCCACCCCAGGCCACCACAGCAAAGTTTTAGTGAGGAAACTGCTTCATTCAGGGGCTATCAGAATGCTGCCTTTCCACCAGCAGTGGGTCCTCAGGGAAGTCAGCTAAGGGTGACCCAGCCCCTAAACCCCATTTTAGACCGTTTCCCAGGACCACTCCTACTACCAACTCTTGTAGTTCGAGTTCCCCAGAAAACGGACTCTGAGATTTGCATGGAAGCACTTTATTGACGTGGGTTTGGCTTTCCAAAGTGAGGGAAATGGATCAAGCAGAGGAAGAGGTTGGAGTGTGATGTGGTTGAGGGGCCCCTGCCAGTCCCGTGCCGGAGGGGCCTTCAGAGTCATCCCAAAGTGAGACAAGAGGCTTCCACCCATCGACCAGTCTTTAAGCGTGAGTTCCCTCAGGGAGGGGGAACCTTGGGCAAAGCAGCTTGCCTCAGCCAGAGGTCATTCTGGGGCATGGACTTGGCTGTGAGCCTTTGGCAGTAGGGGGAACAGGTGCCCACCACTGCCTAAGGCATTGTATCCAGGCGTGTTCAGGTCTCTTTCTGGTGGTTTGAGGCCGTGGAGCCGTTATGGCCACTGGGTTCTGTTGAGCAGTATGGGTTTCCTACATGAACAAGAGCAGTAAGAACCACAGTGGATATGCAAGCTTGTTCCTACGGAAGGGCCAAGGTCAAAACTGTAGAAGCCAAATTCTTCCCTCGAGTCCGAGAAAGGGTAAAAGTGGGAGATGATGCTGAATGTTTGAGTGCCAGGAAGTCACTTGGGAAGAATTGGAGCATGAGAAGGAAAACCCATGCCCGAGGGACCTGGACCCAGGAGGGACCTGGAGAGCACGAGGCTCGCTTCATGGATTACTTTTCCCAGGAGTCAGGACATCAGGGGACTTAAAGGGACAGGGACGGGAGCATCTATGTTCACGTGTTTGCCAGTATTGATGCTGTTTGATTTATTTTCACATTTTGTTTTCATTTTCGGTCTTTTTTTAAAAATCTTTGCTTCAAAAACGTTTATCAAAGTAATACATACGTATAAAAAATAAAATAAAAACAAAATCTTAAAAGAAAGTCAGCAGGCCCTTCCCAATTCCCACACTGACTCCCACCCCAGTTCAACTCCCTAAAAGCAAGAGACTCTTTAATCTGTTTCTTATGACGGTTACCTTCACATTTTAAATAATATTCTCAGACTTCTCTTTCTTGGTTTATCTATATTATACACCGACTTCATTTTTCTTACATGGCTTCTATGTTTTTTAGCTTATTTTCCAATAAATCTATGTGACTTTTTTTTTTTTTTGGTTAATACAGTTATCAGTGTTTACATCTTCATCACTCTATCAATATCGTTCCTTAGTTTTTACCAGATCATCTACCTGCACTTCCCCACCCCCAAATAATTCATCAAATCTGATATCCTTTGGACCCATCTCCTTTGTGGGGTAGGGGTGCAGCGCCCGGAGCTCAACACCAGCTTCTGTTCCAATCTCTGCTGGTTGCACCCTAAGCCCACTTCACACCTGCCCTCCGAGACTGCTCTACGTCTCTCCTGGGTTGAATCCACTACCCTGGGTCCTTGTGCTCTTTGTTTATTCTTTGTCTTGTTGGCACTTACAATCCACACATAGTTTCCCAAAAAGGAAGGCAAGGAGTGTAATTTGTTTTTGAAAACATCTTTATTCTACTCTCAAGCTTTAAAATTTTGACTAGATATAGAAATCTAGCTGGAATATCATTTAACAGAATTTTGAAGCCATTTCTCTGCAGTTTTTCAGAACCCAACAGTGCTGTTGAGAAATTTGATCTCATTCTGCTTCTCCTTCTCGTATATGTCACCTGTTTCTCCTGCCTCTGGAAGCTTTTAGGATCTTTTTGCATCAACCGCATTGGCCATCCTGTGGGCCCTTTTAGTTCTGGGGGAAATGTTTGTATTATTTATTTGATGCTTTTCTCCTCTTTTCTCTGATCACCTTTTGGAACCCTTTGCACTAGTTGGATGTTATATCGATACTTCGTAGAATGAAATATCACATCTCTCACTTTTTTCCTCTCTCTCATTTATTTGTGCTTCCAGAGTATTCCTTTCATGCTATTTAACAACCTTCTGATGATTTTTAATTTTAGCGATCATGCTTTAAGTTTCAGCAGCCTCTTTTTGTTCTCTAAGTGTTCCTTTTTCAAGCCTGCTTCTCTGGTTTCATAAATGTAATGTCTTCTTAGCTCTCTCTGAACAATCAAAATCAGTGTTTTGATGTTTCGAAAGCTCTCATTTGCTGTTCCCCTTTTCTGGTTCAATTTGTCTTTTCTTTCTTTCTGAAGGCTTCCCTCAGGCACCTCAGCCAGTCCTTGGCGTCTGTACTAGTTTACTAGGGCAACCACAACGAAGTCCCTTAGACTGGGTAGCTTGAACGATAGACGTTTATTTTCTCACAATTCTGGAACCCAGAAGTATGAGGTCAAGGTGTCAGCAGGGTTGGTGTCTTTTGAAAACTCTCTCCTTGGCTTGCAGACGGCCAGCTTCTCACTGTGTCCTCAAATGGCCTTTCCTCTGTGCCTGCACCCTTGGTGTTTCTTCCCCTTCTTATAAGGACACCAGTCCTATTGGATCAGGGCCCACCCTAATGACTTCATTTAAACTTCATTACTAAAGACCCCGTCTCCAAATACCGTCACGTTGGGAGTTAGGACTTCAACACATGAATTTAGGGAGACACAATTCAGTCCATAACAGCATTCCATTCCACCGGAAAAGTGAGACTGTAACACGCTGTCAGGAACCTCTGGGTGTTGGGCTCACCCCCTCCCACAGGTGTCCTGTCTTCGCAGTGACACGTGGGGGGTCGGCTGCTTTCTTGGGCACCCATACGCTTCACTGTGTGGGGGGCTTTTCTCTGGGGCCTGCAGAGATTGCAGAGTGGCTGTACCATTTCACAGTCCCATCAGGGGGGTCCGCACTTCTCACTGCCCACTTTCTTTCCACCATGGGATAGTGCATGTTTTTACATTTCTAACGGTCTGATTAGTGTCAAATCAGCTTTTTAAAACAGAGACCTGTGCCATCACTCCTAGATGCGTCGAGAAGGTGGAAGGGATGAGAAACCCTTCTTTCACATTGTTTGCTTTAGTTTGATCTCAGGAGTCTGGGTCAATGACTTTAAATGATAGTGTATGTTTTATAAGCACGTTATACATTTTCATGTTAAGAAATCTGATGAATATCAGTTTTAAGAGTTTTTTTAAAGGATACACTTTCTCGTATCAAAGTATATGATAAGCACTGATATCAAAATAATCCTGTTTTTAAAGCACTGTAAATTGAATTTAAGCCAAGTCGATGATCTCTAAACCATCAAAATAGCTAATACAGCTTCTCTTAAATCCTTCTGGTTTAGGAAATGTTAAAATGGACCTTCAAAAATGCTAGGTTTACAATGAGGAATGTTATAATTCAATGTTTACTCTACGGATCCTTGACACTTGGGATCTGGACAGCCATCTTTAGTATTTATTTTCACCATAATCCTGTGAAGAAGGAGGAGAAGAAGATCCAGGAGAAAGGAAATCCATTAATTTGGTCCCTTGGGAAGCAATTGCAAACTACACATGGCTCAGTGCAAATACCAAGACCTTATGTAAGAGTCAACAGGCCTAATGAAGATGAAACTACAGAACAGAAGTCATTTTTAAAATTAGGTAAGTATTTTGATTTCCTCTGTTATCCATTTTAAGGGGAAAATATACCATAAATTTAATAACTGGGAAGAGTGAGAGAATGTCCTTTTTTAGAGCAATTCAATTTTAAATTATGAAATATTTCTCATATATATTCATATATATCCATACACACACACACACACACACACACACACACACACAGAGAAAATAATAAAACAGGCTTGTATGTATTTACCACCTAAATTTAACAGTTTTTATGTAGTTTGCTGTATCTGTTTCAGATAGCTTTCTGTGTTTCAAAGAAATAAATTTTAATAGGTACAGTAAAAACTTCACCCCAATTCTTCCTCCTCCTTAGATATCTTCCTCATTTCTTTTATGTATTTTCTTTAAGAAAAATACAGTATGTCTTTTTAAAAATAAATAAATTTATTTATTTATTTAGGCTGCGTTGGGTCTTTGTTGCTTGTTGCTGCGCGCGGGCTTTCTCTAGTTGCGGCGAGTGGGGGCTACTCTTCGTTGCGGTGCGCAGGCTTCTCATTGCGGTGGCTTCTCTTGTTGCAGAGCACGAGCTCTAGGCACGCGGCCTTCAGTAGTTGTGCCACGTGGGCTCAGTAGTTGTGGCACGTGGGCTGCAGTAGTTGTGGCTCACGGGCTCTAGAGTGCAGGCTCAGTAGTTGTGGCACACGGGCTTAGTTGCTCTGCGGCATGTGGGATCTTCCCGGACCAGGGCTTGAACCCGTGTCCCCTGCATTGGCAGGTGGATTCTTAACCACTGCGCCACCAGGGAAGACCCATAGTATGTACTTTTAATATATTTGTAGCTATTCTGGAATGAATTGCAATGCCACTATGGGTATTAACATGTAAGTCTTTGTATAAGCATATTTTGTTTCTCTCAGGTAAATACCTAGGTATGGGATGGATGGGTCATATGGTAGCTGTATGCTTAACTGTAAAGAAAATGACAAACCGGTTTCCAAAGGAAGGCTGCCATTTTATATTTCCTTCAGCAGTGGATGAGAATTCCATTTTCTCCAGGTTTGGCCAACACTTGACATGGTCAGATTTTTAGATTTTAACCATTCTAATGGGTGAGTAATGGTATCATTGTGGCCTTAATGTGCATTTCCCCACAACTAAGGATTTTGAACACCTTTTCATGTGCTTAATGGCCCCACGTACATCTCCTTTTGTTAAGTGTCTCTCCAAGTCTTCTGTCCCTTTTTAAATTGGGATGTCTGTCTTCTGATTTCTAAGACTTTTAAAATATATTCTGGTATCAAATCCTTTGATTTGTGAGTTGCAAATATTTTGCACAAGTCTGTGCCTTGTCTTTTCATTCTCTCTTTTTTTTAATTAAGATATAATTGATATATATCACTGTATTCATTTTAGGTGTACAACACAATGATTTTTATATATGTATATATTGCAAAATGGTTACCACAATAAATTTAATTAACATACGTTATCACACATAGTTACCATTTTTTTTCTTGTGATGATAACTTTTTTCTTTTTTTTCTTTTTTTACTGTTAAATACAATTTATTCTTATATTCCAAGAGGAGAATGTTTTCTAATTTCTACAGTTGAAAACAAGATTATTTATAATCACATAATTCACCATTATTATTCATTACATTTTCTTTGGAAAGGATAAAAGTTATCTCAGTACTTCAAGAGGTAACTTAAGGTATACTCTCTTAGCAACTTGCAAGTATATAAAACAGTGTACTGACTAGAGTCACCATGCCGGGCATCTTCATTCTCCTCTGAGTGGTTTCATTCAAGAAGCAAGATTTTAAATTTCTGTGGTCAATTTATCACATTTTCTTGTGTGGTTTATGTTTTTTATGTTTTATCTAAGAAATCTTTGCCTACCTCAAGTTCACAAATATTTCCTTCTATCGTTTTATTTTTATAGAAATTTTAAAATTTTCGGTTTTACATTAACTCCGTTTTGAATTAATTTCTGTGATGCTGTGAGGTAAGGATCATAGTTCATTTTTCCATATGGATCCAACACCATTTGTCGAAAAACTTTCCTTTTGCCATCTTGGTCCCTTTATCAAAAATCAATTGGCCAGGGCTTCCCTGGTGGCACACCGGTTAAGAATCAGCCTGCCAATGCAGGGGATATACATTCGAACCCTGGTCCGGGAAGATCCCACATGCTGCGGAGCAATTAAGCCGTGTGCCACAGCGACTGCGCCTGCACTCTAGAGCCCGTGAGCCACAACTACTGCGCCTGCGTGCCACAACTACTGAAGCCCGTGCGCCTAGAGCCCATGCTCCGCAACAAGAGAAGCCACCGCAATGAGAAGTCCGCGCACCACAACCAGGAGTAGCCCCCGTTCACCCCAACTAGAGAAAGCCCACGCACAGCAAAGAAGACCCAATGCAGCCTAAAATAAATAAATTTATTTTTAAAAAATCAATTGGCCATTTTTGTTGGATCTGTTTCTGAACTCTATTCTCATTCTTTTTAGAAATTGTTTTGGTTACTCTAGGTCTTTTGCTTGTCCGTATATATTTTAGAAACAGCTTGTCAATTTCTACAAAAAAGTCTGCTGGTATTTTGAATGGAATTGCATTGAGTCTATAGATCAGTCTGGGGAGAATTAATATCTTAATAATGCTTTACCTGCATCCCACATATTTTAATATGTTGAATTTTCATTTTCATTCCATTCTATGTATTTTTATATTCCCTTTGAGACTTTCTTCTTGGATTATTTGGAAATAGATTGTTTAATTTCCAAGTGTTTTGAATAATGTTCTGTCTTTCTATAATTGACATCCAGTTTGATTCCGCCGTAGTCACAATATATACGCTATGATTCCGATTCTTTTAGGGGTTTTTTGAGGTTTGTTTTATGATCCAGGATATGGCCTATCTTGGTGAATGCTCCATGGATACTTTGAAAAAAATGTGTATTCCAGTATTGTTAGGGGAAGTGTTTTATGTATATGTAATCTCAGTCATATCCGGTTGGTTGATTGCATTGTTCAATTCTTATGTATCCTTGCTGAGTTTTTGGCTAGTAGTTCTGACAACTGCTAAGGGTGGGTGTTGAAGAGCTCAATTATAATCATGGGTCTGTCTGTTTCTCCTTTCAACCGTATGCGTTTTTGTTTCATGTATTTTGAGACTGTTTTTTGGTATGTTTCTATTTAGGATCATCATATATTACTGGTAAGCTGATCTTTTATCAGTATATACTGTCTCTCTTTGTCTCTAGTAATTTTCTTTGTTCTAAAGTCTATTTTATCTGATGTTAATGTAGTTAGTCCTGCTTTTAAAATTATTTGCAAGATGTATCTTTTTCTATCCTTTTACTTTCAATCCACCTACATCACATCGAGGGGAATTTCTTGTAGACAGCATATTGTTAGAACATTTTTTTTTTTTTTTTTTTTTTTTTGCGGTGCACGGGCCTCTCACTGTTGTGGCCTCTCCGGTTGCGGAGCACAGGCTCCGGACACGCAGGCTCAGCGGCCATGGCCCACGGGCGCAGCCACTCGGCGGCATGTGGGATCTTCCCAGACCAGGGCACGAACCCGTGTCCCGTGCATCGGCAGGCGGACTCTCAACCACTGCACCACCAGGGAAGCCCAGAACATATTTTTTAATGCACTCTGACAGTCTATGTCTTTAACTGATATATTTAGATCATTTGCATTTAATATAATTTTTCATACGTTAAGGTTTAAGTCAGCCATTTTATTATTTTTTTGTTTGCTTCTTCCATTTCTCATTCTTCTGTTCTCTTTTCTTACCTTATTGTGAGTTACCTGAACATGTTTCAGAATCCCATCTTGATTTACTTCCAGTATTCTTTTAATGTATTGCTTCGTGTAGCTCTGTTCGTGGTTGCTCTAAGTATTAACATGATACGTATGTAACTCACTGAGGTCTCCTTGAATCAATGTTTTGCCACTTCCAGGAAAGCGTAAAAAGCAAAGTCCATTAGCATCCTCCATTTTAAAATACGATTGTCTTCAGCATTTCCTCCGTGTACATGGAGCACCACATCAGATGGTGGTGTAGTGTCTGCTCCAATCACTGAATGAGACTTAAGAAACTCACGAGCACAGGCTAGTATATTTTTTACCCTTTTGGATGTTCTTTTTTCTTTTCTGAGGTTGCAACCCTTCATCTGCTATGATTTTCCTTTTTTTTGTTTACAGAACTTTCTTTTTCGATTCTCTGAGGGTGGGTTTGCTAGTCACAAATTCTTAGTGTTTCTTCATCTGAACGTATCTTTATTTTTCTCATGATTCCCGAAGGATATTTTTGCTGACCTAGGCTTTGCTGATGATAGTTCTTTCTGTTCAGCACTCGAAAATGTTTTCTCACTTCCTTCTGTCTTCCATGATTCAGACGAGAAATCCACAGACATTCAGATCTCTCCTCTGTGAGTACTGCCTCCTTTCCGTCTGCAGCTTTTGAGGGTTTTCTTTTGTCTGGAGTTTCCAGAAGCTTAATTATGATGTGGCATGGATTTCTTTGGTGTCTCCTACTTGGGAGTTTCCTCAGCCTCTTGAAGCTGTAGATGTCCATCTTTCACCAAATTCATGAACTTTTCTACTATTATTTTTTAAGAGTACTTTTTCATTCCTCACTCTCCTATCCTTCTGAGACTCCAATAATACGAATATTAGCTCTTTTGTTGTTAGCTCACAGGTCCCTGAGACTCTCTTCATTTTTTTTTTTTAGTCTATTTTCTCCATTGCTCAGAGTAGGTGGATTCTGTTATCACTATTCTACTTAATATTAAGCCCATCTAGCGAGTTTTTATTAGATTACTTTTAGTTTTATAATTTCCATTTGGTTCTTTTTTATAACTTCTATTTCTTTGCTGAGATTTCCTCTTTTTCTGTTTCTGAGCATTTTTATGATGGCTGCTTTAGGATCTGAGATCATTCTGACCTCTGATTCATCTTGGTATTGACATCTGTCAATTGTCTTTTCCTATTCAATTTGAGAGCTCCCTGGTTCTTTGTACGACAGATTTTTGATTGTATCCTGGGCATTTTGGAGATTGTGAAACTCTGGGTCCTGTTTAAGCTTCTTTGTTAGGCCGACCTCTGTTAAGATGCAGCACAAGGGCCAGGTGGGTGGGTATGTTTGCTTCCTGCTGGGCCTGCCGACTCCACCCTGGCAACGGTGGAGCGTGGGCACTGCCACGCTGTGGATGGTGGAGGGGACGTTCAGCAGCCCCATTGGGGAAATGGGGTGCTGACTTGCGTGACATTGTTGTCTCTGAGTTCAGCTCCCCAGTGGGCCTCCCTGATGCCAGGGTCAGGAGATGGGGTAAGCAGAGTATCAACTATCCTGCTTTGCACAACCTGCTGCCATTGAGGGTGGAGGTTCAGCTCTCCCCGGACCCCCATGGATATGAGGGGCAGTGGGTACATGGCGTAGTGACTAGCCTCACCTTGCACCACGTCGTTAAGCCTTGCTGCTGCCAGGTGGGACTGGAGGCTCAACACGCCACTGACAAGACACTACCTTAGGGAGAATCAGAGCACCACCTGCTTCTACCAGGCAGGCTTCTGGAAGACCAGCTCCCTGCTCAGCCCACCCACACCAGCCAGACAGGTAATCAGAACACTGCCTTCTTCTGCCGGGAAGGGGGATGGAAGGCTAGTTTATGCTCAGGGGAGAGGAGCACGGCCCGCCTTGTTCCCTTGGAGTAGAGGTGGATGCGCTCCTTGCTCTCCCCACTGGAGCCAACAGGGGGCGGTGTGGTTCTCCCGTTGGTGCTTGATTGGACTAGAGTGGGTGCTGCCAGAGGGTTTCTGTGGTTAGTTGTCCTTCTTCCTGGCCCTGTGGCTGGAGGAACAGGCTTATCCTGGCGCTTGTTTTGTCTGTGCCCATTAGTGGTTCCACCTGCAGCCTTCGACAGCCCCCTGTCTGGGATTTACGGGAGGCAACAAAGAAATCAGGAGCCCACCGTGTCCTTGCCCCGTCCTGGGGCTCCCAGGCAACCTGCCTCCTTACACTCGCCTTTCAGAGCCAAGGAGTTTTTAGGTGTAAGACAGAGGACCGAGGGGAAATGGGGTCACTTTTTGATGGGAATCCTCTTTATATCCAGTATAGAATTTATACCAGTTTTGGAAAACACCCTTTGGGCATTGGAAAAGAAAGATTATTCTCTCAAAAACAAAGCACAACCTAAAATCTACTAAGGAAACTTAACTAATTACGTTATTCAAGTTTCTAACTTTTTGTCTGATTCAGAGTTGTTCTGAAAAACTTCCATTACCGTTCGTTTGTGGCAACATATATTGATATTTCGAACAATTTTTCTTTAAGTATTTTGTTGCAGCGTTATTTGATGTCTACAAGCTCATTACTATTAAACCTTTACTGTGACTTATTGTGAGTATAAAATGACTTTCTGGATTGTTCTTCCCGTGAATTCTATGCTTTAAAAATGATTTTGACTCCTGTAGTCTTTGACTGTTCTCTCACTTTTAACCATGTTAGTTCATCTTTATCATTTATGGTTACATTTCGTTTTTTATTACCATCTAAGAATTTTTATCTTTTAACGGGAAATCTATGCCAACTTCATTTATTACTATGACTGATAGGTTTGGGTTGTCCTCTGTCATCTTGTATTATTCTCTCAAACAGAGTTTTGGGAGAGGGGCATCAGCTCCCATTCTCCCACCTTCCCTAGATCCCTCAGTTAATATAATTTCACACGACAGTTGCAAATCATGATGGGACCAAGGAGGCTGAGCACTTCCTTCTCTGGAGAAACTGAATGACTCTAGAGTAGCTTGTTGTTCATACTTTGCCAAGGAATCTGCTTTGATTTCTGTGAATACTTTGATTTTAACCTTGTCATCTGGGAGTAGTTTCGGTTCCAGGGAAACTACTCTGACATGTTATAAAAGGAGTGAATTCAGGATATAGTTGTTATTGTCCTTTATCCACGTGATGGTAGTAAACCTATACTTATGTGACTACTACCTTTTCTTGCAGGTAAGGATTTTAAGTATTTGGACCCAGAACTTATTCATGGATATTCAAAATATGGATTTAATTCCATTATCAGTAAAAACTTGGGCAACTACAGAGATGTGCCAGACACCAGGAATAAAATGTATGTTCCTCCTGATATATTTTTTTTACATATTACATAGTTTCAGATATACAACATAATGATTTGATATTTGTATATGTTGCAAAATGATCATCACAGTAAGTCTAGTTAACATCGGTCCCTATACATAGATATAAAAAAGATTTTTTTCTTGTGATGAGAACTTTTAAGATCTTTCTTAGTAACTTTCAAATATGCAATACAGTATTATTAACTACAGTCACCATGCTACACATTGCATCCCTGTGACATTTATTTTATAACTGGAAGTTTGTACCTTTTGACCTCCTTCACCCGTTTCACCCACTCCCTGCCTCTGGTGACCACCAATCTGTTCTCTGTATCTTGAACTTGTTTGTTTTTTTTTTTTTTTGCGGGGGGGGCGGATTGTGTTTTGTTTGTTTGAGATTCTACGTGTAAGTGAGAGCATATGGTATTTGTCTTTCTCTGACTTGTTTCACTAGCATAATGCCCTCAAGATCCATCCATGTTATTGCAAATGGCAAGATTTCCTCCTTTTTTATGGCTGAATTATATATATAGATATAGATGTAGACATATAACATATAGTATAGCTATATAGATATATATTACCTTTTCTTTATTCATCCACCCATGGACACTTAGGTTGCTCCCATGTCTTGGCTTGTAAATAATGCTGTAATGAACATGGGGGTGCATGTATCTTTTTGAGTTAGTGCTTTTGTTTTCTTCAGGTAAATACCCAGAATTGGAATTGCTGGGTCATATGGCAGTTCTATTTTTAATTTTTTGAGGAACTTCCATACTGGTTTTCCATAGTGGCTGCACCAATTTACATTCCTACCAAAGGCACACAAGGGTTCCCTTTTCTCCACATCCTCACCAACTCTTGTTACTTCTTGTCTTTTTTTTTTTTTTTTTGCGGTACGCGGGCCTCTCACTGCTGTGGCCTCTCCCGTTGCGGAGCACAGGCTCCGGACGTGCAGGCTCAGTGGCCATGGCTCACGGGCCCAGCCGCTCCGCGGCATGTGGGATCTTCCCCGGACCAGGGTACGAACCCATGTCCCCTGCATCAGCAAGCGGACTCCCAACCACTGCGCCACCGGGGAAGCCCCTTCTTGTCTTTTTGATAAGAGCCATTCAAACAGGTGTGAAGTGATATTTTATTGTGGTTTTGATTTGCATTTCCCTGATGATTAGTGATGCTGAGCATCTTTTCATGTGCCTGTTGCCCATCTGTATGTCTTCTTTGGAAAACAATGTCTATTCAGATCCTCTGCCCATTTTTTAATCAGATTGGTTTGTTTTTTTCAATATTGAGTTGTATGAGTTCTTTACATATGTTAGGTATTAACCCCTTATCAGATATATGATTTGCAAATATTTTCTCCCATTCAGTAGGTTGCCTTTTCATCTTGTTGAAGGTTTCCTTTGCTGTGCAGAAGCTTTATAGTTTGATGTAGTCCCACTTATTTATTTTTGCTTTTGTTGCCTTTGCTTTTGGTGTCAGATCCAAATAAATCAAGACTGACGTTAAGGAGCTTACTGCCTATCTTTTCTTCCAGGAGTTTTATGGTTTTAGGTCTTATATTTGTTTAATTCATTTCTAGTTAAGTTGAGGGTATGGTGTAAGATAGAGGTCCAGTTTCATTTTTTTGCATGCAGCTGTTCAGTTTTTCCAACACCATTTATTAAAGAGACTGTTATTTCCCCATCATATATTCTTGGCTCCTGTGTCGTAAATTAATTGACCATATATGTGTGGGTTTATTTCTGGGCTTTCTACTCTGCTCCATTGATCTATGTGTCTTTTTATGCCAGTACCATACTGTTTTTTTTTTGTTTTTTTGTTTTTTTTTTTTCATACTGTTTTTATTACAATAGCTTTGTAATATAGTTTGAAATCAGGGAGCGTGAGTCCTCCAGCTTTGTTCTTCTTTCTCAAGATTGCTTTGGCTATTTGGGGTCTTTCGTAATTCCACACAAATTCTAGGATTGTTTGTTCTATTTCTGTGAAAAATGCCATTGTAATTTTGATAGGGATTGCATTGAACCTATAGATTGCTTTAGGAAATATGGACTTTTTTTTTTGCGGTACACGGGCCTCTCACTGTTGTGGCCTCTCCCACTGCGGAGCACAGGCTCCGGACGCGCAGGCTTAGCGGCCATGGCTCACGGGCCCAGCTGCTCCGCGGCATGTGGGATCCTCCCAGACTGGGGCACGAACCTGTGCCCCCTGCATCAGCAGGTGGACTCTCAACCACTGCACCACTAGGGAAGCCCTCCATTTCAGCTTTGCCTTACTTTAAAATTCATATTATTATTTTCACTGAACTAGAGAAATACTTGATACAAATCTTTGAATAATAGGTTTTTTGTTGATTGGTTTTCCAATTACATTTATTTCTCAACTTTTAAATTTTGAAATAATTTCAGACTTACAAAATTGTTGCAAAAATATTTCATAGAATTCCTGCCTAGCATTTTCTTAGATTCCCCAAATGTTAACATCGTCCATACCCTCAGAACCAGAACAATAAACAAAACCAGCAAATTAATAATACAATACCATTAGCGAATGTACAGACGGTATTCAAATTTTTACACTTAACCCATTAGCGTCCTCTTTCTGGAAGGATCTAACCCAGGACTACAGACTGTGTGCAGGGTTCCTGTCCCCTAAGTTTCCTTTCATCTGAAACTGTTCCTAAGTCTTTATCTTCCACGACTGTGACAGTTGTAGAGCTCTAACCATTTATTTTGTAGAATGCTCCTCAATTTGAGTTTGATGTTTCCTTGTGATCAAATCCGGGTCATGCATTTTTGATAGGAATACCATGGAAGGAATGTCATATCCTTCTCAGCACATTGTATTAAAAGGCACACGATGTCTCTTTGTCCCATTACTGGTGAAGTGACTTGTGGTGAAGTTAATTTGATCACTTGATTAAAACGACTGTCAGATTTTCTGCACAGTAAAATTACCATTTATCCTCTTGTAATTAATAAAGGTGCAGATTTCTTTTAAATGTTAATTGTGAAAAACCTGGAAAATATAAAAAAGCATAAAAAGGGAAACTAAAAACACACATAATCCTAGGGATTTTTCTTCTGTCTTAATGCATAAGGTGTCACCTAACTATTTTCCCCCCACTTGACACAGAGAGATCATCACTGTCAGGATATTAGTGTATATCCTTCCAGAATTTATAGACACATACACATATTTATAAGTAGACAGTAAGCATACAATATAATCATATCATTTTAATGAAAATGGGCTTTACTTTTTATATTTTATAATGTGTTTTTTTTTAACTTAACAACATATCGTGGAGAACTTTTTCAAAGCATTACACATAAAATTTGCCTCATTCATTTTAACACTTGAGAGCAGTTATCCATTGTATAAATATACAGTTTCCCCATTAATAGAAATCCTGGTTGTTTTTAATTTTTCAACTTCTCAAAAATGATGTAATAAACACTCTTGTACACATATTTTTAGCCCTCATGTTAGTATATATGGAGTAAAGATTTCTGGAATGAGGTTGCTCAGCCATAGGCTCATTTTTCTTCTCTAGAATTTTATATAAATAAAATTTACGCAGCATAATTATTTTGAAATTTAGCCATGTTGTCGCAAGGAGCTCCTTTTTATTGCTGAGTAGCGCTCTACGGATGTGCTACAATTTGTTTATCCATTCATCTGTTGATAGGACAGATTGTTTCCGGTTTTTGTCTATTACAAATAAAGTTGGTATGAATATTCTTAAGACAAGTTTTGCATAACAGATGTTCTTTTTTCTCTTATGTAAATATTTTGCAAGTGGAATGGCTAGATCTTAGGGTGTATGTTTAATTTTTAAAGAAACCGCCGTTTCCCTAAAGTAGTTTTACTATCTTACATTCCCATCAGCAATGAATGAGATTTCCAATTCCTCCACATCTTTGCCAACACTTGGTATGGCCAGTATTTTGAATTTTAGCCATTCTAATAGATGTGTAGTCGGATCTCATTGTGCTTTAATTGGCATTTTCGTGATGTCTAATGATGTTGAGATCTATTTATGTGTTTATTTGCTATCTGTGTATCTTCTTTATTGAAGTTAAATTTTGCCCATTTTAAAATTGGATTGTTTTCTTATTATTGAGTTTTGAGAATTTTTTAGTATATTTTGGTATAAGATCTTTATCATATTGATGATTACACGTATTTTTTCCTAGTCTATGGCTTGTTTTTTCATTCTCTTAACAGTGCCTTTGGAAAAGCAGAAGTTTTTAATTTTGATGGAGTTCAATTGTTTAATTTTATTCTTTTTTTTTTTTTTTTTTTGCGGTACGCGGGCCTCTCACTGCTGTGGCCTCTCCCGTTGGAGAGCACAGGCTCTGGACGCGCAGGCTCAGCGGCCATGGCTCACGGGCCCAGCCACTCTGTGGTATGTGGGATCTTCCAGGACTGGGGCCCGAACCCGTGTCCCCTGCATCGGCAGGCGGACTCTCAACCACTGCCCCACCAGGGAAGCCCTATTCTATTTTTAAATTTACTTTTGCCTAGCCCAAGATCACAAAGATTTCTCTATTGGATTTTCTTTGTAGATGGGCATGACCTATGCACTTTTACTTCTTCCTTTCTAGTCTGCGTGCTTTTCTTTTTCTTATTGCACTGGCTAAAACCTCTAATATAACGTTGAACAGAAGAGGTGAAATTGGGCAGCCTTGCTGTGCTCTTGCTCTTAACACTCAGCTTTTCATCAGTGAGTATGATGTTATCTTTAGGCTTTTCATAGATGTTCTTTTTCAGGTTTAGGAAGTTCCCTTCTATTCCTGGTTTGCTGAGAATTGTTTCACCAGGCGGCTGTTGAATTGTGTCACATCCTTTTCTGTGTATTGAGATGTGTGTATCTTTAGTTTGTGAAGATGGTAAATTATGTTGATTTTCTAGTGTTAAACAGAGGTTATATTTATGGGCTATTCCCCACTTGGTCATGATGCATTATCCTTTTTATATATTATTGAATTTGATTTGCTGAAATTTTGTTTGGAATTTTATATCAGTGTTCGTGAGGGCTATGAATTTGTATTTGTCCTGACTGCCCTTGTCTGGTTTTGTTTTAGAGTAATGTTGGCCTCGTAGAATGAATTGTGAATTATTCTTTTAGCATTTAATTTTTTTTATTTTTGGCTTCATTGGGTCTTCGTTGCTGCACGTGGGCTTTCTCTAGTTGCGGTGAGCAGGGGCTACTCTTCGTTGTGGTGCGCAGGCTTCTCATTGCTGTGGCTTCTTTTGTTGCGGAGCACGGGCTCTAGGTGCGCGGGCTTCAGTAGTTGTGGCCCGCGGGCTCAGTAGTTGTGGCTCACAGGCTCTAGAGCACAGGCTTGGTAGTTGTGGCGTGCGGGCTTAGTTGCTCTGCGGCATGTGGGATCTTCCCGGACCAGGGCTTGAGCCCATGTCCCCTGCATTGGCAGGCAGATTCTCAACAACTGTGCCACCAGGGAAGCCCCTATCAATTAATTTTAGAGAAACCCATACACGTGAGGCTTCTCTTAGGGGTGTAACCACGTCTGACGTGGTTTCAGCCTCCTTCAATATCATTGTCCTGTTCCTCCGAAGGGACTCAGTTTATAGCTTTCTGAAAATGATATACCCAGGACTAAATGTAATCCTAGAGATTGATCTGAGTAGCCTGAGTTCACCCTGGACCACCGTCTCTCTCTAGTTGGAGGCATCCTCTCTCTCTCTGTGTCTCATCTACTTGCTCTTTGGTCACACAGTGATCCTACTGGAATGCAAGCCTTTTAATCCTATCTGTTTCTGTGAGGCGACATTTTCCCACCTGACGTTTTAGGTCACGGGCAGCCCACAGCACTCGCCCCCTCTTCCCATCCTCTCAGGTCTTTTCTTCGTTCTGTCATCTCATATTCTCATTCCTTGAAGCACGAGTCCATTTCCACCCGGTAAGCATGCCTTCTATATCTTCATCTACTCTTGGATAAAAAGTTAACCAGCACAAGGTCTTCTTCTTCCAAGGTGACATCAATCCATAAATATCCTGAAAGTCTGTCCAGGATCCCTGTGGGGCTGCCTGCCCAGCACGTCCTTCCCTGGGGTTTCCTACCCACTACCCCCTTTTCACATGGTGGCAGTGCGTAGAGTGACTTTCTATTTTGACCCCACTATCTGGCCATGATGGGCACCTAAGCCAAACTGAGCCAGTGAATCCTGTCCTGTGAATTTTGGGGAAGGGGGAAGTCTTAGCAGTTTCTCCTTGGATGCTGGACTGTAGGACACGCTGACGTCAGCCGCATTTCCCACTCTGTGGAGTAAAGGAGGGAAAACAAGCCAGGTTGCAGAGAGAGAATAAGAGTCATGTAATGAGCCTTGTAGAATACTGACTGCAAGGCACTGACCTGAGCATTTTACATATATTAATTCATTGAAACTTCACAACCTATGAGGTAGGTTGATGTAGTTATTGTTATCATTTTAATTATTCCCAGATGTAAAGACAAGAACAGAAATGGAGCATGTCCAGGTGGCTTTCAAACCTCTGGTTAGAATTGCTCTTGGAGGCTCCAGGTTCCTGCCTGTTGGCTAGGTCCTGTGGGACATTTGGGTCCTTTTACAGTGAATCTCTTTCTTACGCTTAAGCTAGTTCCAGTGGGTTTGTCATTTACAACCAAAATATTTCAAAACACAACCAAATAATATAGCAATCCAAACAATACTTAACAGCTAAAAACTAATATGACTAGAATTCAGGGTCTATTCTTCTCTCAGGGGCACAAAAAAATAGTAAAACATTTTTTGTCAAAGCCTTGGAAGAAATCTAATTACACCATATCCGTTACATTTCTTTGTTGCAATAGACTACACAAATGTAAGAACAGCACATAGGTTTTCTTTGAAGATAGAACAGTAAAGTTAATTTGAACCTTTCAGTGCGTATAAGCTTATTAATTCGTTTTTATGATAGAAACCAAAATATAGGAATAATTTGTGTTTATACTATGTTCAAAACAGAACTAATATTATCAAAGCAGAGTCTCAGGAAAAAGCAATTATTACTGGCATTAAGAAGGGAGGAATGATTTAGAAAATATTAGAACAACATAAAACGTTTAAAGAAATTTTTGTATCTTAATTTTTGTATTTTAAATGTACTGTCACCTTACTATCATAATCATTGATTAAAGGAATAAAGAGGAAAAAATATGAATAAAGAAAGGTGTTTGAATGAGTCCTCAAAACATCTAAGGCTTTTAGATGAATCGTTTTCTTCCTCTTGCTTATGCCTGCAGGTGTCATAAAAAACGGTACCCATCCAACCTACCTACTGCCAGCATTGTGATTTGTTTCCACAATGAAGAATTTAATGCCTTGTTTCGGACAGTGTCCAGTGTCATGACTCTCACTCCACAGCATATCCTTGAAGAAATTATTTTGGTAGATGACATGAGTGAATTTGGTAAGACAGGACGCTAATCGTCTATCTAACCTACTTTGAAGGCAGTGCTATCTCTGTGGCACTTGAGTTATTTTATACAAAGAACATTTTTCGGTGGGTTCTGAGGCAGGCACTTTGATGCACTCATGGCGATGTGAGAGCTGGTCCTGGTCCTTATGGAGTTGGGCTAATGGAATGGTTAGTGTTTCCATGAGACAAATGTAGGGGCAAGCTGGTCTTTAAAGGTCACACATGACGTTCAAGAAATGATATCTAGCAAACTATTACATATAGGATAGATAAACAACAAGGTCCTACTGTATAGCACAGAAAACTATGTTCAATATCCTGTGATAAATCCTAATGGAAAAGAATATGTATACGTATAACTGAATCACTTTGCTGTACAGTAGAAATTAACACAACATTGTAAATCAACTGTACTTCAATAAAGTAATTTTTTTAAAAAAAGTGCTCTCTGAACTGAGGTCTGAAGGCTGAGTTGGGCTTATATCGATGGAGAGGAAGGAAAAAGTATTTTAGGCAGAGGAAATGGCATTATAAAGGCCCAGAGGCAAGAGAAAACATAGTGAGTTTGGAATAGTTGTGTATTTGATGTAGATTATGTGTGAGTATAGTGTTAGGAGGGAGGGAGTAGGCCTGAAACCAGAAACGTAAAAAGGCAGCCCCTCTTGAAGGCATTGTTTGAATTTTATTTGGAGAAAAAGGGGAACGATTCCAAGGCTTAATGCAGGGAAATGACACAATCCAGGTACTTTACATGAAAGAATTCTAATCACGCCAACTACACTGAATGGCTTATTCCTCCATGTTCACTGGTTTTAAGGAACTGTGACACTAGAAGAAAATCTGATTAACTCCATTTAGCATCTGAGATTAGCTGTCTATTTTACAACTTAGTTACAAACTTCAGGCAAGCCAGGAGGGCCCAGATTAAGGATAAGTTCTTTGAAGTCTGCAGGTTCCCTGTGAGGTGCATTTCTCATGGAAGCAATGTATCTGTATTGGATAAGTTTTCTACCTAACAGTTTACCTAATCCACCGTGAATCTGACCCACTATGGGCCGGGACAGAAAAAGAGGAGGAGAAACAGGAGGAAGAGGAACAGGCAGAGGAAGGAAAGAAGGTGTCCCGGGAGGTTCACCTCGGAGAAATAACTGTAGACGCGTCAACTCAAAAGTGAAAGGGAACTCAAGCTAATGTCAGCTACATTTAGGAGTTCCACTCATTGGCCAGGCACTGTCACGTATGACATTATTTGTGTGAGAGCCACGCAGATCAGAGGGGTCCAGTACTGTTTATTTCTGGTCTTGTGCCTAGGAGGGGATGTGGAGGGACGGCCAGCTTCCTTATTTGACCGGTACCCTGAGCAACACATCTGGCCACGTGTGGGGCAGGAAGGCCCCAGTAAAGCCATGAGCAGGGAGCCGGGTGGGATCTTTGCTGGACTGTGGAGTTCTAACTTCTCACCCAGAAGGACAAGGATCCTGCCATGGAGATGCAATTCCAGGATGACCAGGGAACCTCCCACAGCCTTTCAGATCTGTGCCAGGAGTTCAGAGACATACCTGGTTCCTCAGATGTTCTTTAGGCATCAGAGGACTCACTGCTGATGGCTGAGGGATGGTTGGACTGCTGGACCGGACACTCTGCTTCTCCTCCTGGATCCACGGTCACCTGGTTGGTGGTCATTTCACCCACCCCACCAAGGAGCTTAGTCTTGGACCCACACAGAACCTTAAACAGGAAATGGGGTGTTTTGTGTCCTGATGAAGCTCAGGATTGATGTACCCCTGCTTTAATCCACAACGATTTCATGTGGGCCTTAGGAGAACTTTCTTCAACTGTAGCTAGTCTTTTCTAGCTCATAGCAGTTGGTACTGCTGATGGAGTTCCTCAGCTTGGGATAGCAGGGGTCAGGGGCCCAGACACCTGCCCCCATTGAGTTACACGAGAGGCATGTCCAGAGCTGACCTGCTACTGTCCACCTTTCTCATAGTCCTGGTACCTCTCGACTACAAGCCAACAACATGACCATCTTCTGAAGGACCCAAACCCTCCACTTCATGTCAGCAATGACAACTGCCAGAACGGCCTTATTTACTCCTAGGTCTGCCGCACAGAGTTCCTCTGGGTCCCGGGTGTTGGGAGGGGTTTGCAGACATCTGAGCTGAGACACTGCCCCTACCCTGCAAGCAAAGCTGTGCGGCCTGCAGTCTGCCTCTGAGCAGGGCCCTGGCACTCTTCTTAAAGACAAGGAAAGAGATCCCTCCTCCTGACGAGACTACAGCGAACCTGCTTCTGTTGCGCCCCAGCCTCCTGATCCAGATTCCTAGGACTTAGGAGTTTAAACCTCTGAGGCATCTGTATCCATCTCACCAGAGACTTCATATTAACCTCCAAGTATTGAGTGACCGTTAGGTACCAGGCTCTGTGCTCGGTCGTGGATTTCTTCCTCTCACTGCAGACCTGCAAGGAATATGGTACGTCTGCCTTCTCACAGATGAGGAAACTGAGACTCGAGTGGTGTGATAACCTCCCTGGGAATTATTACAGAGTTAAGAGCACGATTATTAATAATAAAGTCAAATTGCCCCAAAGAGTCATAACTCATGCTTTTTCTGTTAAAATTTTAATAGTGATTTATTAAAATAGAGGTATTTCACTAGAAACACAGAAGGATGTCTGCAGTTGATTTCGATGCTGAATCCCTTTTTGTTCACGTTTTGTTCACATTTTATGCATGTTCGTCTGATAAAATTTTCTTTTAAGGTTAGAACATTTATGGAATAGCATAGTTTTTAGGAATCAATCAAAATTGTGGGAAATTGGTTTAATTTCTGTACTTATAGTTTACAATTGTCAAGTGTTGACTTTTTTTCCAGATGATTTGAAAGAGAAACTGGACTATCACCTGGAAATTTTTCGGGGAAAGATTAAATTAATAAGAAACAAAAAGAGAGAGGGACTGATTCGAGCAAGGCTGATTGGAGCATCACGTGCTTCAGGTATGAACATGTCGTTGGGAACATGACCCTGTGTCTGCGTCACAGAGATCTTCCTGTGTGTATGGAAATCATCCTCGTGGAGACCCTCCACGTCTCCATATATTTCAGCCATATGAGTCTTTAATCTTCTTTTGACTCTGAAAAGATTCTGCTTCAAAACGTTAATTCGTTATTTCAAATAGAGGATATTCTTTTGCAGGGGTCATAATGTCAGCCTCCTGTCGCAGGATGAGTTCCCCCAGGTACAAACTCTGGGATGGAGTTTTAAATACATGCAGGGAACCCACTGGGGCGCTCTTGGGAACCACGTAAGGGGAGCGGAAAGCAAGACTTTATGGGGAGAGTGGGGCTGTGATGCAGCTGTCGACCATGGGGAACTCTGAAGCTAGGAGGGTGTCAGTTCAGGGCCTCTGGCAAGCAGAGGCCAAGACGAAATGGGAGGCGTGTTTACGGAGAAATGTCTGTGAAGGATAAAGGGGAGAGGGAAAAGCGTGGACCAGAAGCTTCTGGCCTGACACCTGTGGAAAGAGGCAGGGAAAGAAAGGAAAGGAAAACTGCAAGCCCTTCAGTCTGCTGCGTGGCTCCCAGAAAGGCTCCCAGGGGCTGGTGGGGAGCCCCAGGGCAAAGACCGCCCATTGGAGGAGTCCTGCATGGGTGCCCCAGTGGCCCAGCTCTTGTTCATCCCCCGCCTGCCCCCCCCCCCCCGCAGTGTGCTTAGTGATTGGCTGGGAGCCCTGGGAGGGCAGGCCTTGGTGTGTATACTGCAGAAGATCCCAAAGCCTTGGAAGCTGTCAGCCCCACTCCCCCTGGCAGGTTCTCTTGAAGGGAGGTCTGAGCAGCACACTCAGGAGCGGTGCAGAGAGGTCCCACCTGGCCCAGGTAAGGGGACCAGACAGGGACGAGGACACCCTCTGCCCCCCAGGGAGGGGGCGTCGCTTTGGACCAGGCAGCCACATCCTCGCCAAGGGCAGCTCCTGGGGAGTGGACTGAGTCCCGAGGGGAATCCGAGCATTCTGACTTTCAAGCTTCCTGGAAACCCGAATGATCAGAGGGTTGTTTGCAGAATATTAAACTAGGACAAAAGGCGATGGGTAATGTTTAAGGGTCTTTCCTCAGGCCATGTGGCGGTCTGAGGACATGTTTCTGTTCTTTAGCAAGGCTATTTCCTTATTGAGTAGAAGGCCAAATAAAAGCAAGATCTGATTCTTTTTTTCTATGTTGGCCTGATTGAGACCTTCTCTCATTTAACTACACAGATAATACGTATTAATTGTCCAAAACGCAACATAAACCACTAAAACTGCATGGCATGTATCTTTTCAGAACTTTGGTTTTATGCATTAATATACATATGTGTGTATGTATGTACACACGTGCACACATACACACATGCACACATAGATGTGAGGATTTTTAAATATATGGAATCGTACTATCTCTCTTGTTCTGAGACTTACTCTTTTAATTTCAATTTAATGTTTTGGAACTTTTCCCATGACGATACTTGAGACTTACCTCAATGTTTTTTTTACTGCATTGTATGGTATTCCATATGGATTCCATAACGGATTGCCATAATTTGTTTAGCCATTTGTCATTTGGTGATCTTTACTTTTTACTATTGCTCAAAAGAAAAGTTGTACGGGCAATTCTTGTACATATACCTTTGTGGGAATGAATGCTTATGCCTCTGGGATAAATTGCTAAAAGTGGAACTGCTGGGCAAAAGGGAATTCTTACTTTATTTTTTTTTTTTTAATTTTTTTTTTTATTTTTTGCGATACGCGGGCCTCTCACCGCTGCGGCCTCTCCCCTTGCGGAGCACAGGCTCCGGACACGCAGGCTCAGCGGCCATGGCTCACGGGCCCAGCCGCTCCGCGGCATGTGGGATCTTTCCGGACCGGGGCATGAACCCGTGTCCCCTGCATCGGCAGGCGGACTCGCAACCACTGCGCCACCAGGGAAGCCCGGAATTCTTACTTTAAATTCTGATGGATGCTGCCAAATTGTCCTTCAAAAGACGGTACCAGTTCACAGTTCCATCCCAGGGTGTAAGAGGGCCCTCTCCCTGAGCCTAGCCGACACTGGATTATTTGTTACCAATCATTCTAGTGTTTGCCAAATTTGGTCAAAAAACGGTATCCTTTATTTTCTTGGCATTTCCTCGATTACTAGCAGCATGGAGTGTTTTTTCATATTTTTGTAGATTTTTTTATAGATTTTTCTGTGAATTTGGTCTGTTCCTATCCTTTGTCAATTGTTCGATTGGGTTGTCCGTTTGTTACTGATTCGGAGGTGCCTTTATGATAACGAATCCTGTATTATATACACCGAGAATATCAGTCCCCAGTCTGTGGCTGACCTTCCCATCTTTGTGGATAGTGTCTTAGGTTGAACGGAAGTTCACCAAAAAACCCACTTCCTCTTGGTGGACACAGAGCTACCCTGGGCTTTCCTGACTTCCTTTCAGTAGGAATGGCCTTGTGACTATATTTCAACCACATTTCCTGACCAAGGCTTGTAGGAAGTTGGTTTATCTGCCTCCACACTTTATTCCCCCTTCTGGCTGACTAGGGTGGAGCTGACTGCAGTGACTTTGAAGGGCATGGGTTGAAGATGGAAGAGATCCCATCAGCTTGTGTTCCTGAGTGACCCCATGGAGGAGAGCTTCCCCTCAATCAGGAACCTGCCTTGGACTACTAAATGAGTAGAAATAAACTTTGACTGCATTTGAGCCATTACAAATTTTGGAGTTTTATTATTACTAGCAACTAGCTTTAACTTAATAAAACAATCAGGACTTCCCTGGTGGCACAGTGGTTAAGAATCTGCCTGCCAATGCAGCGAACACAGGTTCGAGCCCTGGTCCAGGAAGATCCCACATTCCACGGAGCAACTAAGCCCATGCGCCACAACTACTGAAGCCCACGTGCCTAGAGCCCGTGCTCCACAACAAGAGAAGGCACTGCAATGAGAAGCCCGGACACCTCAACGAAGAGTAGCCCCCGCTCGCCGCAACTAGAGAAAGCCCTCGTGCAGCAACGAAGACACAATGCAGGCAAAAAAGAAAATCAGATTTATCAATATTTTTCTTTATGATTTTTGTGTCTTGTTTAAGAGATTCTTCCTTATTCCATGATCATGACGATATTCTACATTTTTTTAAATTTTGCTTTTTTACGTTATATTATTAATCTACCTAGAATTGATTGTTCTGGGAATGGTGTAAGGTAAGAATCTAACGTCATTTATCCTTTATGGCTAACCAGTTATCTCCATGCCATTCATTAAATAGTGCAGTCTTTCTTCATAGATTACAGTGCTACTTTTATCACTTACATCTGTATATTCCTGCATTAATTCTGGCTTCTCTCTTCTCTCTATTATTGTATTTGTGTATTTCTAAGGCTAATCACACCTTCTCTTGATTAGGATAGCTTGATAAGACGTTTTTATAACTTGTAGGTCAAATATTTCCATGTCATTCTGCAAAATCGTCTTAACTTAGGATCATCCCATTAAGTTCCACAAAAAATCTATTGAGATTTTCACTGGAATTGCGTGGAGTTTATAGATTAAAATGGGAGAGAATTTATATCTTTTTATTGATGTCTTCCCATTCATGGACATTTATTCAGATCTACTCTTACATTCTTTCAATAATGTTTTGTCATTTTCTCCATAGATACCATGTGCAAAGATTTATTCCTGTTTATCTTGGTTTCTTGTGTTTTTTAAATTGTGATTTGGGATCTTCCTGTTGCATTTTCTAATTACTGGTATATAGGAATGAGATACTTAAAAAAAATTTTTTTTTTAACATTTGGCTGCAATGGGTCTTCGTTGCTGCACGCAGGCTTTCTCTAGCTGCAGCGAGCGGGGGCTATTCTTCATTGCGGTGCGCAGGCTTCTCATCGCGGTGGCTTCTCTTGTTCCAGAGCACGGCCTCTAGGTGCACGGGCTTCAGTAGTTGTGGCACGCAGGCTCAGTAGTTGTGGCGCGCGGGCTCTAGAGCGCAGGCTCAGTAGTTGTGGCACACGGGCTTAGTTGCTCCTCGGCATGTGGGATCTTCCTGGACCAGGGCTCAAACCCGTGTCCCCTGCATTGGCAGGTGGATTCTTAACCACTGCGCCACCAGGGAAGTCCCTCTCTTGAATTTTCTGTCAACTGAAAATAGACAATTTTCCCTCTTCCTCTCTAACATTGAATTGAAGTGGAGATAGTAGGTCATCCTTTCCTTATTCCCAACTTTAATGGGAACAATTCTAAATTTTCACTTAAATATTGTATTTACCGATGTTAGTTTCCTGGGGCTGCCATAACAAAGTACCACAAACCAGCTGGTTTAAAATAAGAGAAATTTACTGCCTCGCAATTCTTGAGGCCAGAAGTCCAAAATCAAGGTGTCAGCAGGGCCGCGGTCTCTCTGAAAGCTGTAGGGGAGGGTCCTTCCTTGCTTCTCCCAGCTTTCGGTGGTGGCCGTCAATCGCTGGCTTGCAGCAGCATCCCTCCAGTCCCTGTCCCCTTGGCCACATGGCCTTCTCCCTGTGTGACTAAGGACACCAGTCATACTGGATTAAGCACCCACCCTACTCTAGTAGTACCTCATCTTAACTAATTACATCTGCAACACCCTATTTCTAAATAAAATCACATTCAGAGACACTAGGGGTTCAGACTTGAATATGTCTTTTGGGGAGGACATAATTCAACCCGTAACACTGCCATAGAGTTGTGGTTTTTTAAGGAGAAGAAGTCTTATTAATTTTTTAGTTTAGAAATTTTCAAACCCACAGAGCACTTCTATACCCTCATCTAGATTCATTAGATGTTAATATCTTACAACACCCACTCCTTTTATACATAATCTCACTTCCTCTCCATCCCTTCCCCCCCCACACACACACAGCATCTATGTTCAAAATTAAGAGAGGCTTAGAATTTTCTTTTTTTTTTTGGTACTGTTTTCTTACATTGATACTTTGCTTTATTAGGCTCAT